CACTGGGGCTGATGCTCCCTCACCAGGAGCAAAGCCCTTGCATAGCGGGGACTCTCCTGTTTTATTTTCTGCATAAACCCCCAAGAAACATTGTCCCTGATGAAAGTGCAGGGGCTCTGATCCTGATCCCAAGGCACCTGGGTCAATCCACTGGCTTGCTGTTGTTTTCCATGGGATTTGGATTGGGTAAGAGGCACTGGGTCTTGTTGGACCAGTGACTGGGTAAGAGGTGGGATGTTTGCCAGGCTGCAGCAGAGCTACAGAGCTGACCATTGCTACGCTCAGACACCTTGCTTGCAGGAGGACACCTCCTTGTTCAAATAATTCAGTCATTTCTGCCTGAAGTCTATGAACAATCATGTTCATACAAAAGTCTACGAATATCTGTCATGAAAACTGTGAAAGATCACTTGTTTTTTGTGACTTTGGACACCTGACCAAGACACTGAACTCTGTGCCTGCCCAGACTCCCTGCAGGGAAGAAACCTCTTTGGGATTTGCCACTCATCATCTTCTCACCTTCTCGATGTCTCCCCTGACACCAGAAACAAGATGCCTCTTCCTTTGAGTAATGTGTGTGAGAAGGGGCTTTTATGGGTAACAGAAGGCATTTAATACACTCCAGTGAGTCAGGGGCAGAGTGGGATGCCCCACAAATGTGGATGAAACAGGGGTAGAATGCAGTGAAAACAGGGTGTCAGAGATATATAGCTATGGTCTCTTTTTTTCCTTTAGAAAGTAAAGCATGTTTTTTCAGCTAACCATTGCTTTTACTGTGTCATGCTCAGACCAGACAGGGCAGACGGTGCTTCCCAGGCCAAGAGCAAACTCTGTGCTAGAGAGTCTTGCTCTGCAGACACTTAAACACCCAAAACGCTCTGCGTGCACACAGCACCGACTGGTACTCACATCCAGGAAATTATTAATTAGTCACCACTATTAGCAGGATTGGGACCCCCCCCTTAATTGCAGAATGGGCGGCACAGGGTGAAGAAGTGCATAAACAAAGTCTGGACAGGTCTTGATAGCAAAATGTTTATCTAAAACCTGTCCCCACCCAGCTGGCTGCTTGGCCAGTATGAGTCAGCTAATTTCTTGTAGGCTGTATACCAGGAATGAGCCCGGGCAGATTAAAGTCTTCACTTTGTTTATCCTCCCTAAAAACTATGAATCCTACAAGTTCCCCTTGCCTGCAAGAAAGCACACAGGTTTCACACTAAAGTACCAACTAGTTCCTCAACGCAAGCTTCCCAGTGTGTGATCAGAGGGAGCAGGGCTCTATCTACCCGATGCTCTGTAAGTATGATTTCCAGAGGCAAATCCCACACAAACCCCCCAAAACCCCACAGAATAAGGGGAGGTGGCATTTTCTGGGAGGCAAATGCCCACCCTGCTCAAGTTTACACCCCCAGTCCGTCCGTGGGTGCGCCAGGTCCCTGTCCCCCCCAACCCCTCCAGCCTCTCAGGGACACACAGACTCAGTGGAGACTTCACAAGATGAGCTTTATTTGGGTGTTAGAAGCTGTCAGCTCCAGAGCAGCGTGTCAGCCAGGGCACGACACGCAGCTGGAGGATGCTGCTGGGGCTTTTCTGCTGACGCCTTAGTGGTACTTGCGGGCCAGAGCGTGGGCCACCACACGGACCAGCTTTTGCCAGGCAGCCTGGCAGTCGGGAGTGAAATCCTTGGTGAAGTGGGCAGCCAGGACGATGATCAGGATGTCACCCAGGAGCTAAGGGGACAAAAGCACCCTCAGGTTAGCAACGCCCAGGAGCCTGCAGATCCCCACATAAGCACTTGCATTAGACCCAGGGAAACCTCCAGGCATTTTGTAGGCTTAAAAATCTCTCTGGAGTCTTTTTTAAGATGTACCTATGTGTTCTCTACTCGTACTCTAAAGATTCAGGTTCTGCTACTGCTATAGGAAGAGTAAACGAAAATTATCCAGAAATTTTGTTGATTAAATTTTTCTTTCTGCCTTCTGGCTTTGTTTGGGAGTTTCTCCCGAGCAGGAGACACAGCCGAGCATCTGCTGCGCGGCAGGGAGCCGGCACTCAGCACCGCGGAGCGCCCTGACATGAGCAGGGAGCTCATGCTGATGCAGGGGGGATCTCTGCCAGCCACGGTGACAAACATCGGGGTTTCTTCCCCACTGGGGAACTCTCAGCTGCAGGGATGTGAGAGCCAAAGTTTCCTCTCCCTCTAGGTCTCATTCCTCTTTTGCTTTTGGCATCTAGCTGCCATCTCTTGCTCCTCGCTCATCTCTCCTTCCTCCTCCATGCCAAGTTTCACTCTTACTCCTTTGGTTTCTTCCTGGCTCAAACCTCTTCCTGCCCAACAACTGTTTTCTCTTTACTCTCCCCCTCCCTTTCCACACTGAAATCACCTCCTCGCCTCCTTCCCGTTCCCTGGGCATCCTTGCTCGCACCCTCCAAGCAGCCTCTCTGAAACCATCACCCCTCAGCCCCTTCAGTGCTTTCTCACCAAGCTGCAGGGTGGTCCCTCCCCTCCCTGTCCCTCTTCTGCATCTCCCCCTTGCCCCAGCCACCAGCCTCTCTTCCTCCAGCACCGGCATGTCTGGGGTAAATCCCTCACACAGTGAGGCTTGGGGTTAGGGGAGAAACTGCCCGCAGAGACACTGTGGGAGGAACACAGCTCACCCTGAAGTTCTCGGGGTCCACGTGCAGCTTGTCGCAGTGCAGCTCGGACAGCTGGGCGAAGGTGTTCTTGATGTTGTCGAGGTTCTTGACGGCATCCCCAAAGGAGGTGAGCACCTTCTTGCCGTGGGCACGGACCATGGGGTTGCCAAGGATGGCGGTGGGGCTGGAGAGGTTCCCGAAGGAAGCGAAGAACCTCTGGGTCCAGGGGTAGACGATCAGCAGCCTGGGGAGAGACAGAGGGACGCAGACACGTTAGCGCTCCCGTGATTGGAGTGGTTTCTCTGTCCAGGGTGCAGCCGAGCAGATGCCCCGGAGCTGGACCTACCTGGCCAGGGCCTCGGCGCCGCACTCGGCCACATTGACCTTGCTCCAGATGCTGGTGATGAGCTGCTTCTCTTCGGCTGTCCAGTGCACCATGGTGGCGGGCGGAGGGTGGCGGGTGGCTGCCGGCAGGTACGGAGGAAGTCTCGGCTCTTGCTCCCCAGGGGATCGCACACTGGCGAGTGGGTCTCCCTCTCCCCGCTTTTATACACTACGCCGGGCTCCTCCTCTTTCCCGTGCACCCCTCCATTGGCTGGGTCCCTGGGGGGGGGGGGGGGCCCACAGCCCTGGCACCCCAAGGGTGGGGACGCAGCATCAGGGTGGGGCCCCAGGGCAAGATGCCCAGATCCACCGCCGGGACGGGCTGGCGGGCTGCCCTCCCGCTGGTCTTTGATTTGCAGCTCTGCACCTCCCTAAGGACGGGCGACGTTTATCTCCGCGCAAAGTCTGAGCGTGGCACCACGCAAGTCCCATGGGATGGTGCCTGCAAGGCTTGGCGCCCCGTGGATGGAGCAAACCACGGCGGGCTGCGTGGCTCTGCGAGGCAGAAGACTCAGGCTTGGGGCTGTTGGGTCCTCCCTTGGAATGCACCAGCGGTGTGCAGGAGGTTTCCCTTTGTCCTCTTCTTGCAGGACCCGTCAGGCTTTGGGTTCTCCTTGTTCTTTCCTATCAGCTTTGCCGACTTTAGGGTAACACTAAGAAAACCGTGGGCTTGCAGTCAGAGTGAGCTCCTGTCTCAAAGATCCTGTTAGCACAGGTCAAGCGAGGCTGGAAGGGAATTTTTATAACATGGGGCGCACCAATTGCCTGCAGGGTGTTAGCTGGCAGGGGCCCCACGGGAGCTGGGGCTGACTGGGTGCACTGGCGCCTGTGCGGATGCGCGGCAGCAGGCAGCTCCTGCCCGTGCAGCGGTCCTCCCGAGTGGGGGGAGAGGCAGCTGTGCCTCCTGGGGCTGCACATCCACTCCTGCTCCCAGCAGAGCGGGCTGGGGGCGGTGGGGTGGGATGTAGGAGGGGGCTGGGGAATGGAGCTGGTGGCGGCCATCCCCAGGCAGCGCACAGGAATGACGCCGGCTGGTCCAGCGGGGTCTGGGCGACCATGGAGCGACGTGTTTGCGTTGGCCATGGGCTACGGGCTGCCACCGTTTCTGATGGCTGCACGGGTTCTCCTCTGCCTGCTCGCTTCAGGAGAGGGCTTGGCCAAAGGGCGCTGGGGCCAGGCCTGGGGGTGACACCGTTCCCCAGCCCCCCCCCCACCCCCCGCTGAACCGTGCGGTGTTTGCTGCGGATCTGCTCCGGAGCCATTCGCTCTGCCTCCTCCCTGATAAGGGGGTGGGAGGAATTCACCACCCAGAAACCCCGAGCATGTCCCTGCGCTGCTCTCGGTGCTGTGGGGATGCTGCGAGTCTGAAAGGAGGACGGGAGGCTGGTGAGGGCCACGGTCCTCTGCGTGCCATGGGGACTGTTCGGGGAATTTTGTTTTGCTTGTGGAAAGTTAGATGTAGGGGCCAGAGAAAGCAGATGCTCTGTCCTTCCTATACATGAAATTACCATTCTCGGCATATTTTTTTACCATAGTAGGTAGTTGTGCCTATTACATTTTGCCTTTAATCATCTGAGAATTATGATGATTCAGACAGAAAACAACCAAAAAAGCACTTCTCCTTCCATGAAGGAAGTTACAGATGATGGACCTAATCTCACTGCCACTTCTCCCGCTGCACGTTTTGTGTAAAGTTTTGTTCCACTTAATCTATGAAAGACTTAAAACATTAAACCCAACAATGTTACCTGATGTCTCAAAAAAGCACCGGAGTATTTCTGTTTGTATTTTGTAGTGTGTTTATTTGGGTTTTGTCTTGAATGTTCGCCTGGGTTCTCCTGCTTAGACGAGTCTCACTTGCATGAATTAATAGACAAGACCGTGGCTCATGTTGCCCCACGTGTGTGAGCACCCCCCACCCCGTTCCCCATCACCCCGGGGCAGCCCCCACCCCGTCCCCACACAGAGGCAGACACCTCTTCGTGGCTGAAGCAGTTGGTGTTTATTTGGCAGCTAGAGACCAGCAGAACCAGAGGATGTTGCTCCGGGAGCATCTCCAGGCACGAGCGCTGGCGGGAGGCTCAGTGGTACTCGTGGGCCAGTGCGTGGGCCACCACACGGACCATCTTCTGCCAGGCGGCCTGGCAGGCGGGGGTGAAGTCCTTGCTGAAGTGGGCGGCCAGGACGATGATGAGGATGTCACCCAGGAGCTGGCAATGGAGGGAGGAGAAGCCGTCAGCCCGGTGCTGCCCCCCCGCCTCCCTCCCCACCATCGCTCCACCCGGGTGTTTGTGTGTGGACGCCGGTTATTGGGGAATTCATCGCAGAGCGAGGAACGGATTTATCACACCCCCGCGCAGAGCACCAGGCTCCTTGCCCAGCTTGCCTCTCTGGCACTCACCAGGATGCCTGGATGTGCTGGATCCTCCTCCCCAGACACCTTCCCGTGCCTGCTATGCAGTGTCCTCCCTCTCCTTCAACTGGGTTTAGCTTCTCCTTTCATAGCCCTACCCACCCTTGTTTTCTCTTGGCTCAGATCCCCTCCTTCTGCTGAAGTGCCTGTGTTTATTTGCTCTCCTGATTTAACCACTCCATCACAGCCCAGCTCAGCTCTTCCCTTCAAACCCTGTCTCGGTGTCTTCCCTTCTGGTCTCTGGCTGCTCCAAGCCAATGCTGCTTCCTACCAGCACATATTCGACTCTGTGTTTCATCCCCATCCACCTCACCCACCTGGGTCCCTTCTTTCACAGATCTCAGCCACATAACTCCTCTCTATTCTCCCCAAATATGCCTCTTCCCTTCCCCTCCACCACCCTTGCCCTCAGCAGGCTCCCAGGCTCAGGCAGCCTCAGGGTTTCTCTCCAGGTCTCACTGTCAGACACCCCAGAGACCCCTAAATCCCCCTCCAGAGCACAGAAACCTCTGCCCAGCTGAGGCTGGAGTCCGAGCATGGCTCACCCTGAAGTTCTCGGGGTCCACGTGCAGCTTGTCGCAGTGGAGTTTGCTGAGCTGAGCAAAACATTTCTTGATGTTGTCCAGGTTCTTGACGGCATCCCCGAAGGAGGTGAGCACCTTCTTGCCGTGGGCACGGACCATGGGGTTGCCCAGGATGGCGGTGGGGCTGGAGAGGTTCCCGAAGGAAGCGAAGAACCTCTGGGTCCAGGGGTAGACAATCAGCAGCCTGGGGAGAGACAGAGGGACGCAGACACGTTAGCGCTCCCGTGATTGGAGTGGTTTCTCTGTCCAGGGTGCAGCCGAGCAGATGCCCCGGAGCTGGACCTACCTGGCCAGGGCCTCGGCGCCGCACTCGGCCACGTTGACCTTGGCCCAGACGCTGGTGATGAGCTGCTTCTCTTCGGCTGTCCAGTGCACCATGGTGGCGGGCGGAGGGTTTGCCTGGGGCTTCCCTGAACAATGACGAGGAAGTGGAGTCAAAGTCTGCCCCAGGGATTTTTATACACTAGTAACGGCTTGTCCTAATCTCAGTTCACGTAGCTATTGGTTGGGGCTGGGGAGGGAGCTGGGCTGCACAAGGAAAGATAGCAATTTTGGATGCTGTCCAAGGGGAAAAGAGGCCCTTTCCCCCCTCTGCCTTTGAGTGGACAAGCATCACCTCACATTCAGGCACTTGTATGTGCAGCCCCGAGCGCAGGTGGAGTTGCCTGCACGGCTCCTCCCCAGCTCTGGGATTCCAGGACTGCAGAGGCAGCTGGAGGCTGGGGGGCTGAACACGCTGTGCAGACCCAAGAAGACAGGCAGTGACATTCACAGATGTTGCAGTCCCCGCCTTGACTCTGCTTTCAGACTCTTAATGGTGCATGGGTGCCCTGAGCGCCTGGGGTTCATCCCAAACAGCTCTGGGCATCATCCGCCCCAGCTCAAAGGACCAGAGGCTTCCTGGGAAACAAGGACTGAACGATCACTCCCAAATCTAGGCCCCAGGCAAAAGCCTCCTTTCTTGCCTGTCCTAGCAAAGAGCTTCAGAGTCGTCCTCCATCATCACCGTCCGTCGGTGTTGTCCACGCTGTTCTGAGCCCAAGCTCTCCTATTTCCCATCTCTAGTGCAGCTCCCTGTCATCAGAGAAAGTGGATCCACCTCGAAGGCACAACTCTGGGTACGGGGTCTAAAGAGCACAGCGTTACTCCAGCCTTAGTCCCATGAGGAATTACAAGCCGGACATGTCACCCGTGGGACCAGTCAGTCCCACCTGATGCCAACGGGAGCCTAGGACCAGGCTCTACTGTGCAAAACCAGGCCAACATTAATTTTATCTGCTGGCCCTCCAGAGCACAACACAGCATTCATTTTATTTTAGATTTTGAATGCCTCATTACTCTATGGGGCTGATGACTGTCCCTTAGACTAATAACAGGGTGGCTTTGGGGCACAGTTCTGAGCCTGACCAAATCAGAAGTGGGCTGTACACCAAATAAAAGGCAGAACCAAGTAGGGAACCATGCTTATTTTTTCAGACTGCTAGCAGAAGTATGCAACAAAACCTTGTCTGCTTGGCAAAAGTTTGATGGTTTTGCTGTATCAGGCACTAGCACTGACAAACTCTAGATTGTAGACACTGCTTATACCTGAAAAAAAAGAGTTGTTTTGATATAGCATACCTCATACCCCCAAAGAAATAAGCTGTCTGGGCAAAGCAGCATTTCTACTGGTGGTAGAGATGTCTTGATCAGATTGCTTGTCCACAAAAAATAATTCAGCCTTAAGAAACAGCCTGGCAGGGATGATGTCTCACTGCATGCAGGATGAAGTCTGTCCTCTTGTCTTCTTCTTGGCAACAGCCTTTACAAATCTGGAGAGCACTGTCTTGTCTCATATCTGCTTGCTCCAAATAAAACTGTCAATAAGTTTTTCCAGCCTTACCTCTGGTCAATACCATCACTCCCTGCAGTTACTGTATCTTTGAAAATTGTGACTTTTTTCCACCCTTTTTCTTGGCATGGCGTCTCAATCCATGGCGTTTCCTACTAACAGGGGAGGCTGTCAAAGAATAAAAGTATTCTTACTAGTATAATTTTGCAAACAGGGTCCTGATGCACTACAGGATGGACTGATGCACTTAAAATCATGCAAGAAGTCTGTGATACAGTCAGGTACTGAGTTCTGTCTTTGGCTGTGCCTGGTGACCTAACCTTAAACTAAATTCTGTAAATGCAACTCTAGTTCTACTCTGGCTGCAAATTGGTTCACGCATATTCGTTCTCAGTTAATATAGACATGAGAAACGAGGAGGCTGTAACATCGGCAAATTGCTCTGCGGAGGCAGCTCCGAGATTCTTCATTCGCAGAGTGGACTGGTGAACTGGTGGCACCAGTTCTGTGGGACCTCGGCACCAGAGCATCCCACTGGGGCTGTTTCAAATGCCCATCCCAGGCGTGCAGTGAGGTGCTAAACCAAGAGAAGGAGCAAAGGATGAACTGCTGGGGCTGGCTGAGCTCCTCCTTACCTTTCCGTCCTTGTCCCTCAGCCCCGAACCTCCCCAGCCTACGCGGCTCCTCCTTGCTCAACTGCTGTGGGCAGCAGCATCTCCCGAGCTCACGGTGTCCCCGACAGAGAACATTGTCCCGTCCTGGCAGGTGAGTCCTTCAAAGTGCTTTTCACATCATCTCCAGCAACTGCATTAGTGCCACAGGGCAGTTATCAGCTGGCAGAAGGAAAAAGCATGAGATTAAATTCCCTGTGACAGGTTTCCAAGGGCTTTTTAATTTTAAGATTAGTCAGCTGCAAAGACATTTTAAAGAAACCTGCTACGCTGGGCAGGCCCAGGGGCTGTTTGCAACCGTCGGGCAGAGGTCTATAACACCGTCAGAGGCCCAGCTCACAGTCAAGCAGCTACAGCCCCGAAGGCACCTGCAAGGATGGGAGAGAGATCTCGGCCAGGACACCGCGAGCGTTCGCTGTGAGCAGCCCCAGACGCTGCAAGGCAGCGGAGACGCGCTTGGCAAAAAAAAAAGGCACAACAGCCCAGACAGTCCCGGTCCTCTGCTCTGCTTGGGCCCCTCCAGGGGATCCCTCCATCTCATCCTTTTTTATAAAATAAGAGTTCATTTTAAGTACATTTTAAAATCGCCTGTTTATGGCTTGGGGGCAGAGGCCTGGGTGGCAACCTGTGGATGCTCAGAGCTCCCAGCGCGGGGGTTGTCAGTTGAGGGGGCTGTTTGGTGGCATGGGGGAAACGTTCATCACAACGTGCCAAGTAGAGGCAATTTCTGTAGCTTTTTTTCCAGTCCACAGAGTCAAAGGGAAATCTCCTTTCTCCTAGTGCACCCACAGCAATACCTTGCAGCATGTTTATCCCCAGAAGGAAGCCCAGGGGCCCTTTTGCTCTCTGCCTGGGATGGTTTTCATTGTCCTCAGGACTCTTCCCTCGAGCATCCTTCCAGCTGTCTGTTCCCTTTGGTGTGGGTGGAAGATCCCCCAAGTCATTCTTCACCTCTTGGCCCCACACTGGTCCATGCCCACTTCCATGGACGGGAACCTTCCCTTTTTATAGATAAACCATCCTGACAGCGGCAAAAGGCAGCTGCAGTGACAGCCTTTCTGAAACAAGCAGAATTTATTGGTCACTCTGATTGCAGCAGGCAGTGTCCTGTGCCAAGCTTTACCAGAGCCCTTATCAGCAGGAGTGTCAGCTGTACTCAGGCTGTGCTGCTCTGGATCCAGGCCAGCCTCTTCTCTCTCCTCCAAAGCATGCCATTTCTTGTGCCTTAAGCCAATAGGTCTCAAGGGGGTCTTTGTTCCCAGTTTGTTTGTTGTGATCTTCCTTGCCCAGCTGAACAGCCCTGTCTGGGCTCATCCCACTTCGTGGTCTCCCAGCTGAGGGCAGGAGCTCGCTCCTTCCCCCTGCAGTGGAAGGAGCAGACAGCGAAATGGGAATGTGCGTCAGCCAGCCCTGCCTCGGTCAGGCCATGGAGGGCTGGAACCACTTTGAAGGGACTCAGGGCTCCAAAGGGCTGTTTGCACCGAGCAGAGATCCCGGGGCACACGGGGGGAGCATCTGGGGCTCACCGAGATGGTGTAACAGAGGGCAAAGAAGTCAGGTCCAGACCACGAGCCAACTGCTAAGGACCAAGCTGGTGGCTCGCTGTCCCCTGGGCACTTCGTGGCTCCCAGCCCTGCCCCAGAACCCTCTGATTCTGCCTCTGCAGAAAAGCCCCAGTGGCCGTTTTACCTCATGGCAAAACACCAGCACTGCTTTTACCCCATCACCGGGCTGCTGAGGCTGGGCTCTCCTCCCCAAAGAGGAGAGTGGCGTGGCCTGGAAAGGCACGTTTGATTCCTGCTTTCCCACCAGCTGCTGGAGGTGCCTCAGTCGAGCCACGTTCCCCGTGCTGCAAAGGGAGGAGGCACTGCTGACACCTCTTCCTCTGTAAAGAGCTGGCAGAGCTACTGATGCAGCTCTGCTAGGACTAGGCAGTGTCATTTCAACACCAGGCTTGCGCGGTGGTCACCTAGCCTGCATCAGGGCTCGCCTCTAACCCCCCGTTGGGGTCATAACTTTGCTCTTGCTTCACACAAGAGAGGGGCAACTCTCACTCAGAAAGCCTGGCGCGCTGGTCCTGCACCCCCAGCTTCACGCCCTGCCCCTCGCCTGGCCCTCTAATTGCAGATTAAGGCTGACAGGACCATCCAGGTGCTGGTTGTAGCGCACAGTCGGGGAGCAGGACATGCTCCACATTCCCCCCTGGGACGTGTCCATGGCACGGGGTGGGCAAGGAGGAACAGAATGATTAAGGCATTCACAGACACTGGGGTGAAAACATCTTGCTGAGGACCACAACCACTGTGCAAGTGTTTGCTGGTTTGGGACCCAGAGGTGTAAACACGCGAACGGTGTGTGTGCTGCTGGATGCACCCACAGCCAGTGTGTTAATGTTATGTCCACCCGTGCCTCGAGAGCAGGAGATCTTTTCTGTTTGGTGGCAACTTCCAAGGCTTTGAACTGCACTTTTGGGCTAACTGGAACAAGACATTGTGAACGTTTTACCTCCTGAAATCCTGCTGAAATGCCCATTTGCTGACTGAAAGGAGACTGATGTGCTGCAGGAAAGCTGGACTGGTTTCTGCTTTTTTTTTTCCTTTTTCTTTTCCCCCAGCCCAGGATGTTCTTGGCACTGCCAGCGGGGCTGGATCCTTTGCCTGTGAGACACGCTGTCTGTGCAGGGTAGAGGGGTCACAAGTGCAAATCCTTGCTTTAGCAGGAGGAAAGCAGAAAATGTATTCCTAAATCATGCAAAACAAGGATTTCATCATCCTGAGACACCGACATGTCTGTCCTTGCTGCCTTTTAAGTTATTCCTGGAAGAGCATTGCTGAAACTGATGTGCTTATACAGAATCCTTCCATTCCAGTGAATAAACATTCTTCCATTATCCAGGCTGAGTAAAGAAAAGCTCTGACTGGTCCCGT